TAAATCCTTGTGCAAACCCTTTGGAGCTCTTAAATGCATTCAGGTACATTCATGGTGGTCTTGATCAGCTCTTCCTGTTGGCAGCCAAGAAGGTGAGCTAGGAGGCCACATGAAATCCATTTAATACCTATTTACTGACCAATACTAACACTGAATTTTCACTATTGATGAAGACCTTTAGTATGTAGAACTACAGCATTCATTACTTCACAGCACCTATTTGTTTCTGAAGCCTGTACTTTTGTACCTGTTCAATTCTGTTTCTGGGTTTAAGAACCATCCTTATTTGCTTCTAGTGTTTTAAATTTTATATCATACAATAAATTTTATTGATACTCTGAAAATCCTCAGTAAGCCTGCAAAAAATATGTCTTAGAACCTCCCTATCAGCGTAAGATCTATGTAATGTAGTGTGCTTGGTTTCACATGCGTTCAAATCTGTATCTCTGAGGCTAAGACTTTGGGAATTCAAGGGCAAAGTGAATTTTAATTTTGTACATTTGGTACCTTGATGAACAGTGGGGAAAAGATGCCCTTAGTTTGACTGGTTCTAGCCACAGTTTCCTGTCACTCTTTCTCAAACCATTACACATAAAATCAGAGGCACAAAAGATCCTTCCCTCAAGATTAGATTCCTGTGGAAAGCAAATCACAAGAACAGTGGAGAATAATAATGTAGTTGATTTCTGAAAAGTCTACTTAACTGTTCAATGTTTTGGTTCTCAGGTCTTTACTAAAAAGCAAGTAATCACTTTTATGGCTGATAAAATGACTATCAAACATTTATCATTATTTACAGCTCCAGAATCACTTTTTCATTTATCAGTTATCTTGGTTTCTAAAAATTCTTTCTTCTTGCTAGACACAGAAGCCAGGTGCTGAAAGCTGACCGGGTGCCAAGTCTCAGGACTGTCCCAGCCTTCCACCTCAGCTCTGCAGCCGGGCCTTCTGAATATTCTCGCGGTTGGAAAATCTATTCCCCCAGACTCGCAGATGCTGTTCTCCCCCCACTGGCTCTGCACAGAACATCATTATCTTTGCCGAGCTTCTGTCTCTATGGCAATAACAGATGGGAAGTGCTGTGGAATTATTCATGTTCAGAAAAGGAGGCAGTCAAGGAGGGGAAAGTGGGGGGTGGGAGAGGGGGCACGACCTATGGGGGCGTAGGGAAGGGAACCTAGATGGGGGTGGGGGCGAGGTTGGCTGAGGATAAGAGGCTTGTGAGTCTTTGGTGGGCCTGTGGAGAGGAAAAGAGGGGAATAAAACTACGAGTACCAGTCGCAGACTCCAAATGTGGACCCCCACCATAGGAGCAGCCCCGAAACAAGAAATCGAACGAAAATGAGCGGAGAAAAAAAAAAAAAAAGAAAGAAAGGTCAAAGCTCGAGTCCCTCCTGAAGTCAGCCTACTGCTACTCGGTGGACTATTTCAGTTCCTGATCTTGCGGTGGGGTGGAGAAAAGGGGATTTCTCGGTGTTTCGAAATGTGACGGAGCAGCTCGGCAGAGTTCAGTCTGCTAACTGGCCACCCCCACCCCACACGGCCCTGAGGGTCGCGGGCCGAGAGCTGTTAGTCGTTATCTTTCCCCACCTCGTCTTCTCTCTCAAAAACAAAAACCCCGAGTCCAAACCCCTTCGGCAAACACTGCAAAAACATGTAATTTATAGCTCCCTGTAGGAACCGAGGAGGCAGCCTGGTGGGGTGGGAGGCTGAGAAGCGGGGGACAGAAGTGTTTCCCCTCGGTTTTGCCGGAACTTTGGCCACCCCGCCCGCCTGGCCCGATGGCGGATGGAGGTCAGCCGGGGGAAGGCGTCTGGGTGGAGGCCGCCGGGGCGGGGCGGAGCGCCGGCAGCTGGCAGGGCGGCCCTCGGGCAGGAGGCCCCGCGGGGGCGAGGGCAGCCGGGTGGGAGGCCCCGCGAGGCGGGCCCGGGGGAGCGAGGCCAACACCGGGCGCGCTGCAGGGCGGCTGCCGCCCGGCTACCTCCGGGGCGGGGCGGCCCAGCTGCGGTCCGCGGGGGGAGGGTCGCCCGCGCCTGACCTCGGGCAGCGTCGCTCTGCCTCCGCCCGGCCGGCTGCTGGGGTCGCGCACAGTGCACCCAGCGGCCGCCCTGCCCCCTCCCTCCCTGTCGCGCGACGGCCGAGCGGCCAGGGCGCCCCCGGGTCTGGCCCGTCACCACAGAGCCGCGGGTGGGGCGGGGGTGGGGCTGTGGCGGCCCCAGACAGCCGGCTGGGCGACTCGAGGAAGGAAGGAGGGAGGGCGGCGGTGGGGGTGGGGCGGGGAGGGAACATCCTGTCTGCGCCGGGTGCACCGCAGACAGCGCCGCGCGCCAGCCGCCCAGACGGCGCGCTGGGCCAGGAGCGCCGGGCGCGCGCCTGAGGGGTGGGGCGCGCGCGCGGGGGGACAGAGCGGGGAGGGGGGGATCCCTGAGGAGCCACAATAGGCCAGACGGCGCGCGCGTCCCCGAAGGGACTCGGAGCCGCGAGGGGGCGGCGACGCCGGCGGGCTCGCGCGCGCGGGGCCGCCGCTGGCTCGGTTCCCTCCCCCTCCCCCTCCCCGCCGCCCTCGCTCTCCCCCGGGCGGCCGGAGACGGCGGCGGCGTCTGCGGGAAGCCGTGTGTCTCCGCAGTGACGTGGGCGGGCCGAGGGCACGGTGACGTCAGAGGGCTGTGTGTAGCGATGTGTGTGGGGTTCGGAGCGGCGCCGGCACAGCCGAAGGGAGCGGGCGAGCGGCGACGGCGGCGGCGGGCACAGGTGCGGCCCCAGCTCGCGGGGGAACGCGGCGGAGGCGGCGGGAGGCGAGGGGTGCGCGACCTCCAGGGAGCCCGACGGCGGCGACTGGGGTGGTGGGAGTTAACAAAGCTGGTGGAGCTTCCCGGGGCGCGGAGACCACAGAGTCCGGGGTTCGGATGCGCAGGTCCGGGCGGGGTCGTGGCCAGAGGGGTCGCGGGGCGGACGTCCCACGGTGGATCAAGCCTGGTAGATCCCGGGCGGTGAGCGCAGGCAGGGGAGGGTGTTGCACTTGACCAGAGACGCCTGGACCCCGGAGACCTGGACGCCGGTCACCGCCCCCACACCCGCCCGTCTGCGCACCGCGGGGATGCCCGGGGCTCGACCTGGCTGGTCAGTCCGAGCGGCAAGGGATCTGGGCTGGGCGGCCAACCTGCGCGCGGTCCCCAGTTGGGTCTGGCTCAGGGCCGGCGGGGGGAGGTGTAGCCCTAGGGGCGCTGGGGTAACGCCGGAGAACTTCCCGGGGAGAGGGTGCGCGGGGGATTTCCATCGTTCACCCCGCGGCCCGGTAGTGGGCGATGTGGGGAGGACACTTGGGGTGATCCCAGGCTCGCGGGTGGGGGTTGGGGGACTCCTCTCTCTACTTCCCTCCACCCCTTTTCACACCCCCCAGAGGTCCCGGCACTCTAAGCTCCTTGTCTTCCCCATTTCGGGTGAAAGACGGGTGGGTGGCTTTGCGTGGGCGGAGTGCTTCAGGGTTTTAGGGGCTCCCCCATTCTAGGTCATGTCTCCTGCCCTCTTCCTTGGCCTGCATTGGATGAGGTGTCCTTATGGTGGCGAAAGTCAGTAGGATGGCTAGTGACTTTCGTCCTTAATCCTTTGGGTTTGTTTTAAGGTAAACTGCTGGGAGTTTGGAGAGCAAAAATTTCTATTTATTGGATTTCTTTTGGGTATTCTTTAAAGGAGGAAGTGGAAGAATCTTTTCTTTTTCTCTCTTCCTCCATTTGCATTCTTTGTGAGGTCTGTCTGCCTTGTGTTTTTTGTCCCGGATTAATCTTGTTCAAGGATGGAGATTCCCAGGCATAGAGCCTTACAGCTTTTGGCTTCCATTAAGCAAAATTACTAATCTTTTAAAGGGAAAGTTAATTTTTGCCTACAGTCATTTTAGAAAGATAGCATACGTTGATTAGATGAATCAATGCACTTGAGATTGTAACTTAGTTACTTACATTAACTCCTATGTTTTTTTGGGGGGAGATGAATGAAATTATGTTTTTTAAAAAATTAGATGAAATAATGGGTTATATTTTAGTTATAGTAGTGTAACTGAGAAAGCCTCTGGTACTGAGTTTCGGTTGAGATCATCTGTTTAAGGTTTTTCATATTCTGAATTTGAGTAGCGTTACTCTTTTTGAGGGATATTTTTGCTCCCTTTGCCCACCTTCCTATTTAAATGAAGCTTCTTCTAGTTACTTGGTGTTAGATTTGAAGAAATCACTCAAGTGTCACCTTTGGTAAAGTGAACTTAGTTTAAGATTAAGAAACTGGTTTCAAACTGACCCTTTGGCCTCTGGAGCAAATTCAAATGTAACTCTTCCTCTATCCCCTTTCTCTTCCAGATTAATTTAAAGAAGAATGAAGTGTAATTCTTGAAGACAATTGGGCAGTTTTTTTGTTAAGTATCATTTTTGATTGTAGAAGTTCAAGTGAAGCTAGAGGCCCTTACTGGTGTGAAGATTTATACAAGGCTTCAATTTGTCAGCACAGACCAACCAACCATTTTTAGAGGGGATACTCCCCCTCTCCTTTTTTGGTATCTTGGTAGTAAAAATTAAATTTGTTTGCATTATTTTGACAGGTTGGAGTCTAGGTTTTATGAAACATCAATGGCATAAACTTTACACATGCTTTGCTTAAAAAAAAAAAAAAAAAAAGATTAACCAAACCATTGCATTGAAGCTGGACCTCTTGAATTGAGAAATTGGTAATGTTATTTTACATATATATGAAGAATCCAAGGAAAGCCTCCTCAGAAGTGTACCTCTTAAGATTATATTTATTACTAGAAGCAAAAAGAGACATTTTGTAGTATTTGCAGTGAAATTATACTAGGATAAGCAGAACCAAAACAAAGTTGCAAAATCTATTGGGTAAGAAGATTTCCTTTTGGAAATTTATAATTTTTTATGAATAGGTTAAAAGTATTTGATACAGTTATTCTTCTTCAAATAAGCAACTAAATAAAAATGCAAATCTCAGACTTAATTATTTAACACAATAGCATAGCAATGGAAAACCTACAGGCAAATTTCTCCTTAGTTCAGGGCTCAAATAAAAAACTGAATGGGATGGGAGATGATGGCAGCCCGCCAGTGAAAAAAATGATGACAGACTTTCATGCAAATGGAAAAATGATAAACAAGGTGCCAACGGTAAAGAAGGAACACTTGGATGACTATGGAGAAGCACCTATGGAAACTGATGGAGAGCCTGTCAAGCGGACCTGTACTTCTGTGCCTGAACCTTTAAATTTAAATCCCAGTTTGAAACATACATTGGCACAATTCCATTTAAGTAGTCAGAGCTCTTTGGGTGGACCAGCAGCATTTTCTGCTCGGTATTCCCAAGAAAGCATGTCACCTACTGTATTTTTGCCTCTTCCATCTCCTCAGGTTCTTCCTGGCCCACTGCTCATCCCTTCCGATAGCTCCACAGAGCTCACCCAGACTGTTTTGGAAGGGGAATCTATTTCTTGTTTTCAAGTTGGAGGAGAAAAGAGACTCTGTTTGCCCCAAGTCTTAAATTCTGTTCTCCGAGAATTTTCACTTCAGCAAATAAATACAGTTTGTGATGAGTTATATATATATTGTTCAAGGTGTACTTCAGACCAGCTTCATATCTTAAAGGTCCTGGGAATACTTCCTTTCAATGCTCCATCCTGTGGGCTGATCACATTAACTGATGCACAAAGACTGTGTAATGCTTTATTGCGGCCACGAACTTTTCCTCAAAATGGTAGTGTACTTCCTGCTAAAAACTCATTGGCCCAGTTAAAGGAAACTGGCAGTGCCTTTGAAGTGGAACATGAATGCTTGGGCAAATGTCAGGGTCTCTTTGCACCTCAGTTTTATGTTCAGCCCGATGCTCCGTGTATTCAGTGTCTGGAGTGCTGTGGAATGTTTGCACCCCAGACATTTGTGATGCATTCTCACAGATCACCTGACAAAAGAACTTGCCACTGGGGCTTTGAATCAGCCAAATGGCATTGTTACCTTCATGTGAACCAAAAATACTTGGGGACACCTGAAGAAAAGAAACTGAAGATAATTTTAGAAGAAATGAAGGAGAAGTTTAGTGTGAGAAATGGAAAAAGAACTCATTCCAAGACAGATACAACACCAGGAATGGAATTACAATCATGGTATCCTGTTATAAAACAGGAAGGTGACCATGTTTCTCAGACACACTCTTTTTTACATCCCAGCTACTACTTATACATGTGTGATAAAGTGGTTGCTCCAAATGTCTAAAGAGGTCACAAAGACAGAGGCAAGTAAGTCCTTTTCAAGACAGCCAGAGAAGCCTCACATTAATAATAAACACCAAAAAACAGTGTCTTACCCAGATGTCTCACTTGAGGAACAGGAGAAAATGGATTTAAAAACAAATAGAGAATTATACAGTCAATTAGATCCATTGGTCTCACATAATTCTACAAGTAAAAAGAAATCAGAGTCTGCTACTTGTGCAAGAGACTCAAGCAAGCATGATGAAGCTTCATCTTCATTTCTTGTCAAAGATGTTATTTGTGAGGATGATAAGGGGAAAATCATGGAAGAAGTAATGAGAACTTATGTAAAACAACAGGAGAAGCTGAACTCAATTTTGCAAAAGAAGCAACAACTTCAGATGGAGGTGGAAATGTTGAGTAGTTCAAAAGCTATGAAGGAACTCACTGAAGAACAACAGAATTTGCAGAAAGAGCTTGAATCTTTGCAGAATGAACATGCTCAACGAATGGAAGAATTTTATGTTGAACAGAAAGACTTGGAGAAAAAATTGGAGCAGGTAATGAAGCAAAAATGTACCTGTGACTCAAATTTAGAGAAAGACAAAGAGACTGAATATGCAGCACAGTTGGCAGAGCTGAGACAGAGATTGGACCATGCTGAGGCTGATAGACAAGAACTCCAAGATGAACTCAGACAGGAACGGGAGGCAAGACAGAAGTTAGAGATGATGATAAAAGAGCTAAAGCTGCAAATTTTGAAATCATCAAAGACTGCTAAAGAATAGAAACCATGAAAGAGATTAATTTGTGTATTACTGACAGGGTTTTTTGTTTGTTGCTTGCTTTGGTGATTGAATCCTGAACATCTTATCTGCATGAAGATAAATAGGCTTTCTGTCCATTTGTAGATCAGAGAAAGTGAAGAGATTATATATTAGTACATAAATTTTTACATTTTCCAAATGAATGAAATGTATGTTTCTTTGTACTTTTTTTCACTCAGCTTGTTAACAGTAGTATATGGTTTCAACTAGTAGATAATTACCTATATTTCTAATGCAAAATTAATAATTGTATACTTTTTAAAAGCTGCATTATGTGATGGAAAATAGTGATCAATTTTGTTTATCCATATTTCAAACTCAACTTTAGATAAAATGGTGGTATTATAATTAAAATATGTAATATAGAACTACTTGAGGAGTTGAGTCTCCATTTTTCTCACCAACACAAACTCCTTTCTGAATTGATATAGTACATTCATTATTATATGCAAAATTTGCTTTTACTTTGTTCAGATTGTGGAACTGAATTTCCACCAGTTTTCTTTTTGGTGTCTTCTAAGAGGAATTTCATTGATGAAGTTATAGCCCACCCTTGTACACAATGGGCAAAGATAACATGCTTTGTTAGTTATGCTTTGCTGCTAAACACAAGAAGCGTTGTAATTTGTCTTTCAATTTAAATGTGATTATATTTAGAATTTTTTTGTAGTGACTTCAGAAAAATAATTTCTGAGCTTTTTAATGGTGTTAATAGTGGTGTGAAAATATTAATGTTCTTGAGAAAACTGATTCCATTAATGTACATTGGTTTCTATACAATCCATAATCCTGTACAGTTTTTATATGTAGTTATGGGTCTTTACTAAAATTTATATAATGGATTTGTTTTTCTTTAAATTATAAAATATTAAACACCTTGAGGTTATTTTGGACTTTTGTATGTTTAAATGTTATCTTACCAAATTTGCACGAATGGACCATTTTCAATTGCTCTTTGATATCAAAATCAGGAATTTACAGTAAACTGCTAGTATCTGATAGGTTAATATAGGTCACTTTAGTTATCTGCTACTGAAAGGTTTCTGGATAATTTTTAGATGGCAAAGGAATTTCATATTTTGGGGAAGGGCAACATCTGCACTTTTTTTTTGCACAAGAAGTCTAAAAAATGTTTTTAATAGCAAATCTCACAGTAGTTAGTTATTAAGTAAAATTCTCAATATTAAGTTTTCTGAAGGAAGATTGATTAGTATTCCATGAGTTTTTTGTTTTTCATGTTCTCATAAGGTACTATATGAAATTACTGAAGAGATCTAAATTTATTTTAAAAATAAATCAGCTAGAGTTAAAGTTACATACTATTTTCAGCACAGAAGGCTTATACTCTAATGGTATAGAATTTCAAAAATTTACTAGGTTATCATTTAACTAGTTATTTTCATATTTTGCTTAATGGTACTCATATATCCAAAAAGAACTTTTGTACTTCACAAAATGTAGTTTATTTTCTATATAATGTGTGATTTTCATTTGAGCTTTACTGTGTTAACCCTATAGCTTAATTGGTTGATTCTTGAAATCTCCTCAAGGAGGAACAATGTGAAAATGACAAGCAGAAATATGTTAAAAATGACATATCCTCCCAGTGCCATTGATTTAGATATGGAGAAAGAAGAATCACAAACATTTATAATATAGTTTTATTTTAGCTGTGAATTAGTTTTGTCATAACTCAGCTTTTTGGTAGATATACTCAAGCACCTATAATTTCATTTATTTTTTTAATTTCCTCAAAACCTTTCTGCTTATGTTACTTAATAAATTATAAGCTTAACCTAAGTTTCAACCCAAAACTTCTAAAATAAATTGCTTAATCTTTGAAATGGGTTACTTTAGAATTCTAAGTGGTAACACCATTAAATTATTTATAAATTCTTGATTTAAAATTGAGTAAAGAAATATTTTTTATAGTCCTTCATGTAATAAAACTTGCCATGTGACATATAGTCTTTGTTTTCCAGAAGATTCATTGATGTGCCATATGTTTCTAACTTCCTTGAAAATAGTTTTCTAGTCAATTGTAAATATACCTGTTATTGTTAAAAGTAACTTTAAGTTAAATTGCACCATATAGCTTGAAAACAATGTAGAAGTTTTTGTAATACTTTTAAAAGTGACCTCTGCTGAAGTATCTTATCCATATAAAACTTATTATTCTATGCTTTGCATGCTTTTGTGTGCTGATTGCTAGCTTAGTTTGTTTTGGTGTTAGTTTTTGTGTGCCAAGTTCACTTGCAAGCAGATTTTTCCTCAGATTTCATAATATTATTCTTTTTAGGAGAAATAAAAATGTTTAAAAAGCTGCATTAAAAGATCAGCCTATAAAGAATTTTGGTAGAGCATCTTTAGAAGGAAAAAAGACAATTTTAGCTTACTGGGTGATGAGTGATTTTTAATTTGAGTAGTGATAGCGTATCTATAATCTAAACTTTATGAAAAAATGTACCAAATCTATAAAGGTATTAAATGGAAAACCTCCTGCTGTCAATGAGGAAGCTCTTAAGCCACCCTAATTTCACAAATGGCAACTTCTAACACTATGAAAAGTTTGACCAACCAACATAAGTTTGATTTGTGCTTTAATTTTTGTAAAGCATATTCTTTTGCTTAAATTTCTGTGTCCATGAAAATTAGGATGTTTTATTCTTCTTGAACTAATTTTATAGCATATTTAATATATTACCAGTTTAGATAAAATCATTTGTACATATTGAATTATAAAACAAGTAAAGTAGGTGAAATAGACCAAGTACTATGATATTTGCAGGTTATCCATATCTTTTAGAAGAGATGACAGAACAACCAATTTGTTTGCACATCTGTGGCTTCTGTTTGAAGGAAAGTAAAAGGACAAGGAAACTCAAGTAATATAAAACAGGCTCAAAGTATTTCCCTAGAATTAATGGCAAAGCTAATACTGAAGATTTTGCTCAGCTTCTGAAATTTTCTTAATGATAAGATGTTCTGATTACTTAGGGAAGAATGCTCACTTTTTTATTTGCCCTTTATGCATTTAATCCACATGACAGGACATTAAAATTACTATAATGAAAAACTGTGCTCAGACTGTACATCTATTCCTGTGCTTGGAACTACTTGTTAATAGTTTTTATTGAAGCTATCAGCAATAAGGGACATACAGCTGCTGTATTATATGTTGGTAAATTGAATAAACTGCTTAAAATTTTCTTTTTCTAGTATAGAATACTTAAGCCTTTCCACTATTGGGAGAAAAGCATATGGGTATTTTATAATGCATCTTCTTTAAAAGGACAGTCTTTTTCTTTTTTTGTAAAATCTTTCCACTTAACTGGCTTCTAAACAATATAATGCAGTTTGAAGCCTGCTTAGGAATAGAATTAAATGTCTTATGTAGTGCTACTGGTTTTCAATTAGAAATGTAAAAAAAAAAAAATTTTTAAAATGAAGCCCAGAAAACAAAGTAGTTTAATATAAGATGAATTTATAAGATTTTTTTTCTTCAATAGAGATACCTCACTTGAAAATAAAGCACAGCATACTTAAAGTAGTTCTAGTAAAAGCATCCTACTAAATTAATTGCTAAGTCTAGGGCATTTTTTGGGGAAATTAGAATTTGTGAAAAATAAAATATACTTGCTTTTAACTATCTTGTTAGGAGTATTTGTTTATCTTGATAATTTTATGCCAAAATAGTAGTCTTAAATTATTTCTGAATTTTTAACCTGTGAAGGCAGTAAATGAATTAACTGTTCTGCAACTGTTGAAACAAATTGTTAAATATATTGACCACAATTCAATTTATAATTTTGCCAATGATGTACAGTTTTAAGATTAAAATTGCTGTGGTTGGTTGCATTACATGACACACAAAACTGTCCTCTACCTCACGTGAAATAAATATTTTATATGGTTTTACTAAAAAAATGACTCATCTATCTGGTCACTTAGTTTACAAATTTTGAATTATATTTATTGAAACATGACATACTGTGCTCTTAGCTTATACCTCAATTGTATTTTGTGCTGTTTTCCATTTTCATGTCTTGTAAATAACTTGTATAGATTGTGGATCAAATTCCAAATAAAAACTTTTAATGCCAACGAAATTTGATTCAAGTCATCTCAGTATCCTGTGTTAAACAAGCTACCTTGTATTCTATAATTGATATTATTTTTCTTTTTTTTTTTAAACAGGGAGAGAGAGAGAATTTTAATATTTATTTTTTTTAGTTTTCTGCGGACACAACATCTTTGTTTGTATGTGGTGCTGAGGATCTAACCCGGGCTGCACGCATGCCTGGCGAGCGCGCTACCCTTCAGCCACATCCCCAGCCCGATATTATTTTTCTTTACAGTCTGTTATTACACACTGATTAACTTGAAAACCATTTTTTTTGGTGGTGCTGGGGACTGAACCCAGGGCCTTGTGCATGTGAGGCAAGCACTATACCAACTGAGCTATATCCCCAGCCAACTTGAAAGCCTTTTTAAAAATAAAATGAAATTTTATATAATATTTTAGGTGGTGAAATAATCAGCAATTTGTCATTATTCTATTTCATGACACTTGAACTCTTCACCTTAGCATCTTTTTTCCTCACCCCAGGTATAAATTATTGCTACATTAACAGATCACCCTCAAATTTAGCAGCTTAAAGCAATAAGTGTCATAGAGTATCTGAGAGTCAAAAATATAGAGCCTAGCTCTTTATACGGATGTTACCTGGGGCTAAAATCATTTGAAAACTGGATTGTGCTTAAGGACCTGCTTCTGAGCTCTCCTGTGGCACTGAGTGTTGATAGGCACTCAGTTCCTGACTGGATGTGTCCATACAACTCTCAGGACAGGGTGTTCGACTTACCCAAATGAGTGATCCAAAAGAGAGCAGTGCCACAATTTATGACCCGAACTGGCACATACTGTCCTTCCCCCTCCTTTTTTTTTTTTTGCTTTATCCTGTTAGAAGTGGGTCACTGAGTCCAGCATATATTCCATAGGAGAGTGTAATACAAAGGTACATAGAGCTAGAGGCAGGGACCATTTGGGGCCACTTAAAATGTAGCTACAAAACCTTCCACATTTTTAACTCTTTTTGGTGATATATATAACAAAACCATTTTAACGATTTTTTACTGTACAATTCAGTATCATTGAGTACATTTGCAATGTTGTGCAACTATCATCAAACATTTTCATCATTCCAAACAAATTCTATACCAGTAACTGAATCTTCAGCATCTGATACATGTTTATTCTACTTTCTGTTCCTGAATTTGCCTATTCTGGGCACAAGTGGAATAAAAATATTTGTCCTTTGTGTCTACCTTATTTCATTTAGCATGATGTTTTCAAGTTATATCATGTTGTTGCATGTGTTAGAATTTCATTTAATGACTAATACGCCATTGTATGTTTGTACTCCATATCTATTCATCTGTTGATGGACACTGGATTGTTCCCACTTTTTAACAGTGTGAATGATGTTGCTATAAATATTGGTATACAAACATCTACAGTAGTTAAGTTCCTGTTTTTTGAGTATAGACCCAGGAGTGGAATTACTGTATCCAATAGTAATCCTTTTTTAAAAAAAAATATTTATTCTAATTTGTTATATACATGACAGCAGAATGCATTTCAATTCATAGTACACATATAGAGCACAATTTTTCATTTCTTTGGTTGTACACAAAGTAGAGTCACACCATTTGTGTCTTCATACATGTACTTAGGGTAATGATGTTTATCTCATTCTACCATCTTTCCTATCCCCTACCTGCTCCCTTCCCCTCTCTCCCCTTTACCCTATCTAAAATTCCTTCATTCTTCCCATATTCCTCCACCCATCCCCATTATGGATCATCATCTACATATCAGAGAAAATATTTGGCATTTGTTTTTTTGGGATTGGCTAACTTCACTTAGCATTATGTTCTCCAACTCCATTCATTTACCTGTAAATACCATGATTTTATTTTCTTTTAATGCTGAATAATATTCCATTGCATATATATATATACACCACATTTTCTTTTTCTATTCATCTACTGAAGGGCATCTAAGTTGGTTCCACAATTTAGCTATTGCGCTACTATAAACATAGATGTGGCTGTGTCCCTTTAGTAACCTGTTTTTAAGTCCGTTGTCTAGACCAAGCAGTGGGATAGCTGGGTCAAATGGTGGTTCCATTCCCAGTTTTCCAAAATCTCTATACTGCTTTCCAGATTGGTTGCACCAATTTGCAGTCCCACCAGCAATTCATGAGTGTGCCTCTTTTCCCCACATTCTCTCCAACGTTTATTATTGTTTGTATTCTCGATAGCTGCCATTCTGACTGGAGTGAGATAAAATCTTAAGAGTAATTTTGATTTGCGTTTCTCTAATTGTTAGAGATGTTGAATATTTTTTTATGTTTGTTGATTGATTGTATATTCTCTTCCAAGAAGTGTCTGTTCAGTTCCTTGGCCCATTTATTGATTGGGTGATTTGTTTTTTTGGTGTTAAGATTTTTGCGTTCTTTATATATCTTACAGATTAGAGCTCTATCTGATGTATGTGTGGTAAGATTTGCTCCCATTCTGTAGGCTCTCTATTCAACTCAC